AGAGTTATCAGAGCAAGGCTTTAAGTTCTGTCTGTCATCAAGGGAGCGTTGCATAAGCTGCTCATCACCTCCTCATTAGGAACAAGAAAGTACTTGTTATTTGGTCTGCTGATTCAACATGCAGTGCCCTTTATCTGGGATCCCTAATAGTTTAGAGAAATTGCGGGGATGAGGGTGTATTTAACCTCTTGTGCTTCAGTGCATCATGAGGGATTTTAGATAATATGATAATCAGATTTGGAAAGCAATAAACAGACTGGGAGATTATGTTCTGCTATCAGACTCCTGTGAGTAAATCAGGTGAAAGGCACAGGGTGTAAATCACATGATCAAATCCATGTAAATTGAGATGTATTAACTGCCATGAAAATATAGCCTAATCATCAAAAAGTAATTTTAACATGTTTTATGATTGTCAAAATGCAAGCAGAGTTGAAAATGCCTGATCTGAAATCTAACAAACACAATGTTCTTTATGTCTCTGTTTCTTTGTTGTCACTGCAATCTCTTAATTAGATTTATCTCAACAGTAAGCATTGACCTTCACTGTCTGTCAGACAGTGTGCACATCTTCTGAAAATTTACCGCATGCTCAGTATGCAAGTGTGATGTGCGTGACACTGATCTGATTTATGGAGCCTGTGTGTTGCATGCTGCTTCTGGAGGACACTTATTCAGTAGATCAGGCATGTCATGCTGAATTACACACTTACCAATGACTGGAGTAGAACCTGGCGTAAATGTGCAGTTGAAAAGCCTCAGATACTCTACAGTGAACAACTGATCTAGACTTCTAGTGCAATTAAAAAATAATAAAAAATAGAGTGCCGGTCATGTTTATAATACTTTGGTATGAAAGAAGGAGCCTTATACCTGCAGATCCTGCACTTCAAAGCTAAATGAGAAATGCCTGATAAAATGACCTTTGATGCAGATGTAATGGCTCCAATGGGGTATTCCAAAGTGAGCACATGACCTTAAAGTTAGCTGGAAGAGAATCTTCGAATGAATCAACGGAAATGATGAAGTGTTGGAATGATTTAGTGGTTTTAAATTCTAAATTCAGCTGATTTAGTTGGCACAGAGAGGATCGCAGTTGTGTGTGCACCAGCTCTAAATCACCACATCCAATTACTATGCACAGCAGTGCACATGAAGGCTCCACTATACTTGGAAAGCTAAAGCTCTTAAATATATCCACTGGGTTTTATTCAGATGCATTTCAGGTGAAATTATATCTAAAACAAACATTTCTGCAAAGACATCTTACTATTTTACTATTACTTCAAATCCACAGGTCAAATTCTCATGTGATGAGAAAGCTGGTAGAAGATATGGTCTTTGATGACCTCATCATTATATATAAAGTCTCACATATTTCAGGATATTACTGCACATCTTGGATTTGATGGTATATGACCTTCACTGTGTTAAATCTGCTTTCTGTGCTCCTCACCACTATATTTAGAAATAAGAGCAGCCCTCATGCGGAGCAACTTACCCACAATCTCCTGACACGTCATCCTTGCATGTATGCAGATCTGTTTGTGTGTGTTTCCCTCTCTGTGGCCGGCCTCCCCGATGGGATGAGCTCATGCTCATGTTGGGAGAGCAGCAGGATCCTGTGATTACAGCACTTCACTGTGCCAGAGTGATCCAAACCTCAATCACCTCCTGACTTTACATTTACATTTACATTTAGACATTTAGCAGACGCTTTTATCCAAAGCGACTTACAATTGGGGGATACATAAAGCGATTCTTCTTAAAAG